TCGTGGTTTGAACCGGTACCATTTCTTCTGTGCTTGTCGCCGGAGTGTTTATACGTCAGGTAACGCCTTTGTATATTTGATTGTCTTTGCATCAGATCTGTCAGTTTTGATTTCTGGTGACGTTGTATCCGTTAGTGACTCTACTAATTGAAAATGTACATACATGCATGATCGTTTTGTGTATAAGGTAAATGTATAGCATCGATACAATCTGATTAAAATCTGATGTAGTGTACGGGCTTTAATTATTTTGGCTATAAACTTATTTTAATTTTATTTTTTATTACTTTTGTTATTAATGTCTTTTTATTTTATTATTTTACTTTGATTTTCATTTTGTGATTTTTTTTAATTCCGCCCTACATACATCTAACCCGATGCCTATGTAACGAGATTTCAACGAGACCCACTGTCGACAATTTTAGTCAACGAATCACAGACCTCCTTCCATAGCGCACATGATGACGTCACCGGGCGGAGTCAGGTGGCAAACACACTCAAATAAAATGGCCGATTATACCGACGTTAGCGACCGAGAAAAACACGGCTTATCGGTAAGTTTATCATTGTCAAATGCAACGAAAGTCATTTTTTAATGTTTATATTGTGGATCGAATGGTTCGAGTTTAGATCGTTATTTTGCGTAGTTATTCTGGGAGTGACGATTTTGTTTCCACCGGTTCGACCGACGGAACACCGGTGTCTTTTTTCAGTCACTTGCCCTGGAGACGGGTGATGTTTTGTTGACGATCGGAACAAAATCGTCTACGGTATTGAAGCCGTAGGTTGTAAATATTCATCAAAATGTGTCAACATTTTGTACATTATACAATAACTCTTTATTAAAGTAATTGAGCTGATTTGGACTGGAATAAAATATTTTTTATTTGAAACACATCGCAATTGATCAGGAAATATTTTTTTGCTCCAATTTTCTGCGTCGATGCCGTGGGCCGGTGACCGTTATACAATTTAAAATCAGTTTGCATTGTTTACTATAGCTGTTTACAGTGTTCTAATCATTACGATTTACTATTTTTTTGCTTCCATTCTAGATAATTATGCTCAGTGTTTGATGTAAAATTGAAGCGATGACTGAATAAACGAACCTTGGCTGGCGAAGATGCATCAGGAAGTGTACACATTTGTTGGAAGTGAAAACAATATTCAATGTAACGACAAAAATGTAAATAAAAATATACTAGCAATTTTCTATTAATGGTTTATTCAAGTGGGCAAAATATAATGTACAGAAAGATTGCCCGTAGAGTATCGCTACACTAAAAAAGTAAGCAACCGACAGCCTGTATAAAAGGGGGGCTGTGATTGGCTGTTACTTACGCGAGATTTGAACGGGACTTACATAGGCGTCGGATCAGTTGTATGTAGGGCGGAATTAAAAACAAATCACAAAATGAAAATCAAAGTAAAATAACAAAATAAATAATAAAAGGCATTAATAACAAAAGTAATAAATTTAAAATAAGGTTATAACCAAAATAATTAAAGCCCGTACACTACATCAGATTTTCATCAGATTGAGCATCGATACTGGCATCATACATATTCAACTTCCAAAAAGATTGGCATGTTTACGATTTACTGAAAAAAAAACATACACAGTAATCCACAATATAGAAAAATTTAGTGAAATATGTAACATTACATGTTTCATCAATGAGATCATATATATACAATGAACATAAACAGAAATTACATCAGTTTATACTTTACACAGTTTACGCAGATGGGGGGGGGGGGTAAGAAGTAGATATATTTACTACATACTTGTTGACCGTTGCACGCCCAACATTGTTTTGTCAAGCATTATACCCTGTGTTGTAAGTATTGTAGTCTGTGTTGATGGAGTACTAGACGTTATTGTGGATAGTTTTCGGTCATCAGTTGTCACACTGTACGCTGTAGAAGGCTTTTCTACTTCTTCGGTAGATCTCGTGGGTGTAGTAGTGTGCATGTCTTGGCTTGTAGTATCTGACATTGTAGTCTGATCTGTTGTTGGAAGATGAGAGATAAATATTGATAATTGAAGAAGTTTCGATGTAAATGACCGATCGCGATGTGTGAGTCAGTGGAATTTATTTGAGCAGAGTCAATTAAAGAGGGAGGGTCGTCACCTGCGCACGCGCGGAAATCGAGTCCAAAGAGACGCTAACAACACATGCTAAAACGCAAAGGCTCATGGGTAGACGCTTGTTTGTAAACACTGACACGCTATGGCCATCTGACGCATGCGCAGGTGACGACACCCACGCTTTAATAAATCGCAACTCACAGGCTGGTATAATTCTCAAGAACTAATTATAATATTTAAATTGTTTTACAACAGAATATGACGTACCAGATAAGTGTATTGAAAGGCAGTTTATTTTACATAAATAAGACAATCAAAACACGCTCGCTATATACGTACGGTGTGATGAAAACATTGTGGTGGTTACACGTGATGCGGCGTCATCAGTGATCGCATTTGTGGTGCTTTGACGGAATGACGTCATGTCACTTGCACCTAGTGTTAGTTTTGAAGTTGGGTGTTGTTCTGTTGAAGACACTAAAATCGAATGCATTTAAAGAACACACAAAATTGTCATCCATTGTTTACGGCAGTTTGCCACGTATTTATAGACGTGTATTTTCACGTGAAATTGTTGTCACAAATTATTTTTATTCTATAGCCATGTCAGTGAATAAACATTTTAGAAACCACGTTTTTGTACGCATAGGATCTATATCGAACACAACGTAGTACGATTACTATACGGCTTTAAAATATGTGTATTCATTCATGATGGAAATATTCTCCAAGGAAACTGAATGAGAAATTGTGTCAATGTAACAGATCTAGAGTGAAATGGGTGACAGACTGGAAAGATTGTAGTGCGTGAGGTATGTAGTGATGTAAACAATTGTACTCGACAACGTATTTTGCGCAAATGATATATGAAATATATATTAATTAATATTAAATGTGTGAGTAATTATAAAAGTATAACATTTAAAAAAAGGCTATTTAGTGGAGAACAACTGAATACGACACTTGCTGACATCAGGGGTAATTTTGTATTTACCTTTATGCTTTGTCACGCCATCAATCTGTGTTGTATATCCTATTATTGTTGTGTCAAGGGTAGGTGACAATGTTTGTGACGTGGTCATTTCAGTTGTGGACTGTTCTGTTTTGCTTTCAGGAACAACTGATGTAGACGTACTGATCGTTGTGCCGACACCTTCCGTTGTAGTGTTTGTGGTTGTTGCTTGTTCTGTGGAATATCTTGCTGATTTGTCAGTTGTCTCATGTGGCGTGCTCCGGGTATCTGACAATATTTGTGAAGTGGTTAGTTTAGTTATGACTTCAGAAACAATTGGTGTAGATACAACACTAGTCGTGAAAGCTTCTTCTGTTGTAGTGGCAGTGGTTGTAGCTTGTTCTGTGGAATATCTTGCTGATCTGTCAGTTGTCTCATGTGGCGTGCTCTGGATATCTGACAATATTTTTGAAGTGGTTAGTTTAGTTATGATTTCAGAAACAATTGGTGTAGATATAGCACTAGTCGTGAAAGCTTCTTCTGTTGTAGTGGCAGTGGTTGTAGCTTGTTCTGTGGAATATCTTGCTGATTTGTCAGTTGTCTCATATGGCGTGCTCTGGGTATCTGACAATATTTTTGAAGTGGTTAGTTTAGTTATGATTTCAGAAACAATTGGTGTAGATATAGCACTAGTCGTGAAAGCTTCTTCTGTTGTAGTGGCAGTGGTTGTAGCTTGTTCTGTGGAATATCTTGCTGATTTGTCAGTTGTCTCATGTGGTGTGCTCTGGGTATCTGACAATATTTGTGAAGTGATTAGTTCAGCCATAAGCTCAGAAACAGATATACCGATCGTCGTGACAATACCTTCTGTAGTTTCGGGGAATTCTGATATATAAACCACAAGATGTATTAACCATCTACACAATACAAATTATGTAATCAGTTGTCGGTTGTGTTTTTTCCGTTCACGATTCTGCAGTGCACATACATTTGTAAGATATATAGCACGTTTCTCTGGAATGGTTTAGTAGTATTCAGAACATTAGAAGCATTGAGTATAATTGCAATAAATGGCTTCATTTCACTAGATAAGTGTTTGTATTGTGTTGGGAAAAGGATTTTGTATAATCAGTCCCTGGTGTGCCTGTGTTGATTGGTTCATATCCCGACAGACCGTTAACTGGTGAATCACGTGTTCTTCGTCCCTATCACCGTAGATAGAGTTTATATTAATAAATATTGTTTTTCCACATATCAACATGTCATCAAATATTACTTTTATGCATGATCAAAACAACATTTATAAATAAATATACAAAAAGTCTAAAAAAAACTAACCTGTAGTTGTATATTTCAGCATTGACGGATGCAGAAGATCAAATTTCAGTGGAGGTGTTGTACAGGTACACGTCATTGTTTTGCTTGGTCGGTTTCTTGGAGCATGACATATGCTATTACTTACATTGTTCTAAAATACGAAGAGTTATATCAGAACACTTCTATTTTGGGTTTTGTGTATTATTATTTTTAGTTCAATATTGTCTTCATAATTGAATTCAGAAAGCCAGCAAAAAAAATTTCATCAATGAATTTTTTCCAACCATATTTGTTGGACTGATTATCTTTTAAACCATAACAAATTTACACAATAAATTGTGTCCGAGTGTTATCTTTAAACGGAATTGAAGTGATTATTTTTTTCATTTCATTATTGGTTATACCATTTATAAGGTCCGTCACGACGTGTTAATTATGTCACATGGTTTGTTTGGAAGAGTGCATTCAGTATGTTGGTGTTCTGTGTTCGTAAATGCAGACTTGCTTTTTTTCACACATCAGTGATGCGCTGATGAACTACACACTGTTACATTGTTGTCTCGAATAAAGTGATGTGGGTTGAACTTTGCCGTACTTACCTTTGCTGTTGACGAATCCACTGTTGGCATCTGAGCGGTCGATGTCGACCACATTTCTATTTCTGTTTCTAATACTGAAAACAAAAACAACGTTTGTGTGTGTCAACAATTACTGCATTCATTCAAACCATCAAACAATGCGAGAAGTGCCATACATATTTCGATAAGTGTTGACAGCCTTCACTCAAGCTATGTCGGACTACTGAGGGAAACAAACGCACATTATTTCACGTATCTGGTCTGTCCCTTCATGAATATTGTAAAGACTACTTGTTATCGAACAAAGAACTAAAGTCATACTCTGTGAGCAGTCACAATCACGCTACAATTAGGGGTTACTTAAACGTCCTCCTGGTTAGCTCGTGTCAATAACGACATACATGCCACTTACCTGACGACACAGCGGTGACTTCATAAAATGTACTCGAATATAATGTTCTCAAGTCTTCAGTGGCAAAGCCCTTTGTGGTAGCTTCTTCTGCTCCTGTGAGTCAAACGACGTATAAGTGTTCGAGTCTCGTGAAATGTGGTTTTCATTGACACGGACAATTAACTAAAAAAACTCACCTGCTGTACATGTACAGTTCGGAGGGGACGACAGGCTAAATTTGGGTGGTGGTGCACAGTTGCAAATAAATTGTTCAGCTTGGATTGAGTGCGCAGTAGAACAAAACTCGGCTCCGTTAATCTACAATAAGAATATAGCATACTCTCAGCGGAACAAAAGTATTCCCTTATTCTTTATAAATACATGAAAATTGAAACTAGAGAGGTTTCTTTTGGCCGATTGAATAATGCCGGAACTTTTTTAAATGGCACGTTATGCACCGTGCTCGTTGATTGGCTGGTGGCACGTTATGCAGCGTGCTCGTTGATTGGCTGGTGGATTCAACTCCATTATAATTTACAGCTACTAGTATTTATAAAGATGAAGCAATGCCTTTGTTGCGCCGAGAGTACATACATGCTGTTTTCTTTACAAGTTACCAGTGTACTATCAACTATCTCGTAGACGTACTAATCCCTTCACTATCAGTGTTTTGTGGTGTTAAAGTCGTCTGTATATAGTCAGTAAAGTAGCTATTGTGACGTAATGGCGTGGAACTATTCAGTAGTTGACTACACCAAAAAAACATGCACGTGTTAGTCATCTAGTAGGTCATCGTCCGATTTGTACGGTTTCGCTGATTCCGACCATCTATGCCCCCCCCCCCCACGAACACGCGCTTGATGTTGTTAGGAAAGGCCATATTTGACCTCAGTTAAGGCATGTCGACCAATCAACTCTCTTGTAACAAGTTCAAATTCAAATCTTCTATAAGATCTACGCATACTAGTAAAAACATGCAATTTTGCGTTCCATTAGGCCAAAACAAAACTTATGTTGCCCTCAAGTCGGAAAATTAAAAAAATTGGGTCGGTCGGTCGGATTTTTTTTAGAGAAATACAGATCAACCTGAGGTTCAAAGTCGCCACTTATCTCCCCGGAGACCCTGGAGATCAAACAAGGGTCGGGGATCAAACAAGGGTGAGTTTTTAATATTTGGGCCTATTAAAAAAAAACATAAAAAACGCGACCTGGTATTTCATATTTTTAGGTCGGCCGCTGAGGGCAACAAAACAATTTTTTGGTCTTACGAACATCATAATATGTAACTTTACCGTGGAATCGCGCCAGACTACACGTGTATTTGTTTTCGTCGAAAGTGAATACAATTGGGAATTCTGCTTTGGTATAATAGTGGAATGACGTCTGAATTAATGAACCTTGGCTGACCAAGAAGCTAGCTGGTTAGATATTTTGGCAGATTAGGGTCATACTGAATGCAAAGATCATAAAATGGTTGTGTATAATGTGAAAATACTCATTGTGTCAAAGTATGAAAAAAGAAAAGACTATTCTAGTTCGCTAGGTGGGCGATCGGTACAAACAGTCACTTACATAAATTCTATCGACGTTTTTTTCGAGATATGTGCCTAAAAAACTCACCTTACCAGCATGATAGGAAGTTGTTGCTACAAACCAGATGACGAAGACAGCGTAGCGTCCACTCACACTAGCACACATCTTGAATGTCCAAACCAAACAATGTGATGTTGTCTAGTCATGGTCTAAAACGTGTAAAAATGAACACGGAAGTATGATTATTATATTAACTTCCTCTTTGGTTGGCGAGCCTTCTTTTCAATTGACAATGCAGTACGTACACCCTAAAAATGGGACTCCTGAATGACGAGTTGTCGGCGAATGTATTTGCGAATACCGTCTTGTATAATCCCTGAGCTAAAACAAACTTTTCAAACTTATATTTAACCTCGACAAAATATGCAGGAAGTCTGCGGACCTCAAAGATATGGTTCAGTTTCTCTACCCCAGAGTCATTCATGCACTGTAAACGTTGTTCACTAATTGGTATATTGTAAAGGTGAACCTTATGACATTTACAGCTGCTGTACATAAGACGGAGAGGGTACACGGATATCTGACGAATGACGTGGCAGAAAGGCATTAATTACGACATGCAACTTCTGTCCCATACAAACTCTCTACCTCAACTTCGTTTTAAGGACCGGGGTTCAAGGTCACAGGTAGACTGTCGACAGTCTTCGCCGGGGCCTAATTTGTTAGTATATATGTTGAAATACCTGCGGTTTTTTTGCAAATGCCTTTGGCGTTTGCCGATTTAGTATACTAAAAAATTGGACCTGAGGATTGTCCGACAGTCTAGACCAGTCTAGGTGACAGGGAAAAGCACGATAAGTAATGAGTATGGCTTTGTTTTGTAAAGTAAAGTAAACTTTATTGACATTGTACCCTCTTTAGGGTATTGAATGGATTACAATAAAGTAAATATGTTTTTAGAAAAAAAACATAAACAATAAAGATAAATGATCAGATAAAGGAAAGTAAGATACAGCATGGAACTATAATAGTTCCATGGATACAGTAATTACTAAAATAGCTAAATAATAGAAAGAAAAATAAAATCACTACTAGTATCAGAAATAAATATGTATAATGTAAATATTATGAGACAGTTTCATGTTTTCCTCTCTCAAGTTAAAGCACTGATAAATGAATTTACCAAGTTTGATCAATGTGTTTTCATTTTTGCTTTCTAGAATTTTTATTGAGCAAATTTGATCAATGTTTGTGTTGCCAGTTTTTTGGATAAATTCATTTCTGATGTTATTGTAGCATGGGCAGTGAAGAAGGAAATATTCTTCATCCTGAATTTGTTGAGTGTTCCAATTTGGCATTTCCTTTCTGCTACGTTTATATTTTGATGCCTTCCAGTCTCAATCTTAAGGGTGTGTGCACTAATTCTGAGTTTTGTCATGGCTGATCTGTGGTATGGATTTTTTTACAACTGCCAGATATTTTTCGAAAGAGGTGTTTTTTTTTGAGTTGCCTAAATGTGCGGAGTTTATTTTGAGTGTTTGTATTTAATTTAAATAAATAAAAAACGACGACTATAATTTACATGAGATTACCAATTACATCTATCCAAAAGGCGGCGGCACGAACATTTGCATAGAGGCGGAAGCTGCTCAGCGTCCGTCGCGTGGAAGGCGCGTTTTTAAGCGCCCCGGTCATCATTCCGCGTCAAGCACTTTGTTTACACCATATTCGTGACGACTGCGCCGTCGAAGGCACTCAATGAAACACCGAGGACGCTAATCAATGCCTTGATTGTGACAATCTGGAAGTTTTATGTTTATGATAAATTTATGGGTTCTCTAGTACTCATTTCTCAGAATATCTATGACCATCATATACCAAACAATGTTATCAACTAACACTGACACAGAATATCTGTATCAACTAACGCTGACACAGAATATTTATGACCAGCATATACCAATCAATGTTATCAACTAACACTGACACAGAATATCTTTATCAACTAACGCTGATACAGAATATCTATGACCAGCATATACCAATCAATGTTATCAACTAACACTGACACAGAATATCTATGACCAGCATATACCAAACAATGTTATCAACTAACACTGACACAGAATATCTTTATCAACTAACGCTGATACAGAATATCTATGACCAGCATATACCAATCAATGTTATCAACTAACACTGACACAGAATATCTTTATCAACTAACGCTGATACAGAATATCTATGACCAGCATATACCAATCAATGTTATCAACTAACACTGACACATAATATCTTTATCAACTAACACTGACACAGAATATTTATGACCAGCATATACCAATCAATGTTATCAACTAACACTGACACATAATATCTTTATCAACTAACACTGACACAGAATATTTATGACCATCATATACCAAACAATGTTATCAACTAACACTGACACAGAATATCTTTATCAACTAACACTGACACAGAATTTTTATGACCAGCATATACCAATCAATGTTATCAACTAACACTGACACAGAATATCTTTATCAACTAACACTGACACAGAATATTTATGACCAGCATATACCAAACAATGTTATCAACTAACACTGACACAGAATATCTTTATCAACTAACACTGACACAGAATATTTATGACCATCATATACCAAACAATTTTATCAACTAACACTGACACAGAATATTTATGACCAGCATATACCAAACAATGTTATCAACTAACACTGACACATAATATCTTTATCAACTAACACTGACACAGAATATTTATGACCATCATATACCAAACAATTTTATCAACTAACACTGACACAGAATATTTATGACCAGCATATACCAATCAATGTTATCAACTAACGCTGACACAGAATATTTATGACCAGCATATACCAAACAATGTTATCAACTAACACTGACACAGAATATCTTTATCAACTAACGCTGACACAGAATATTTATGACCGTCATATACCAAACAATTTTATCAACTAACACTGACACAGAATATTTATGACCAGCATATACCAAACAATGTTATCAACTAACACTGACACAGAATATCATTATCAACTAACGCTGACACAGAATATTTATGACCATCATATACCAAACAATTTTATCAACTAACACTGACACAGAATATTTATGACCATCATATACCAAACAATTTTATCAACTAACACTGACACAGAATATTTATGACCAGCATATACCAAACAATGTTATCAACTAACACTGACACATAATATCTTTATCAACTAACACTGACACAGAATATTTATGACCAGCATATACCAAACAATGTTATCAACTAACACTGACACAGAATATCTTTATCAACTAACGCTGACACAGAATATTTATGACCATCATATACCAAACAATTTTATCAACTAACACTGACACAGAATATCTATGACCAGCATATACCAAACAATGTTATCAACTAACGCTGACACAGAATATCTATGACCAGCATATACCAATCAATGTTATCAACTAACGCTGACACAGAATATTTATGACCAGCATATACCAATCAATGTTATCAACTAACACTGACACAGAATATCTATGACCAGCATATACCAATCAG